TTGAGTTGTAGAGTCCATTTCTCCGTGGCTGGCCTATTTAGGAGAAGAAGGACCGCGGAATCGAAGAGGTGGGCACGGAGCTGGTGTTCTTCGTCTTCTTCGCTACTTCCCCAATGTTCTCGAGAGCTCCCCAAGCCTCTCGCTTGCTCCTGCTCAGCTTTGGTGTATTCATCTTTTTGATATCACAACCCACGGTATACATAGCTAGAGCATTCAGAGATGGTCGTTCCGTTGAGCGTGAAGGGGCATCAGAACCAATTCCGTTTCTCATGAACATCGTCTTCGTCAGATTCAGCTGCAAACCGATTTTTCCACACGCGCAGTCGAAATCAGCCAGCATTCGTTCCGCTTGCTCGATGTTTGGTGTTATCAAAACGATGTCGTCAGCAAAGCGGAGATGGTGTAGTTGCCGACCGTCGATCTTCACTCCCATGTCTTCCCATTCCAGTTGACGCGCTGCGTGCTCGGAAGCGCTGCTGAACAGTTTGGGCTGGATGGTATTGCCCTGTCGGACCCCTCTCTTCACATCGATGAAGTTCTCTTGCGAGCGAAAACCCCCTCAGGAACGAATGTTGGGAGGAGGGGCCGAGGGTGGCAATAGTGAGGTATTTTCCCCACATTCCTATGATGAATCAAGGTCAAGGGTACTCCTTGAGCTAACCTTAGCCGTCTGTTGGCACAAGGTGCCATCATAATGACCAGAAATCTGCCATTCAGTGAAGCTGTGCCTCAGCCGCCGCTGTTAGATTGCACATCCGTACATCCGCTATCCTCGTTGCTGAGTGGGAAGAGTGTTAGAGTGGGAATCCCTGGTGACGACTTGACTAGTAGTCCTTGACAACGGCATTTGCCGCTAAGTGATTCTCTGAAAATATCAAAAATAGACAGCAGAAGGTGAAAAATTTCAATGCATTTTTTTGATTAGAGATCGATGGGGTCTCAAGAAAGGACGTCCGACTAGGTTTACGCCCTTATTATGGAAAAGGCGCAGTTTATCGACGGGGGGGGGGGGGCATTTTGCTTTCCATAGATGTGTCGACCCATCTAGGTAGCGTTTTCTTTTCGTAGAGTCCATTTCTCCGTGGCCTGGCCTATTTAGGAGAAGAAGGACCGCGGAATCGAAGAGGTGGGCACGGAGCTGGGTGTTCTTCGTCTTCTTCGCTACTTCCCCAATGTTCTTGAGAGCTCCCCAAGCCTCTCGCTTGCTCCTGCTCAGCTTTGGTGTATTCATCTTTTTGATATCACAACCCACGGTATACATAGCTAGAGCATTCAGAGATGGTCGTTCCGTTGAGCGTGAATGGGGCATCAGAAACCAATCCGTTTCTCATGAACATCGTCTTCGTTAGATTCAGCCGTAGACCGATTTTTCCACACGCGCAGTCGAAATCAGCCAGCATTCGTTCCGCTTGCTCGATGTTTGGTGTTATCAAAACGATGTCGTCAGCAAAGCGGAGATGGTGTAGTTGCCGACCGTCGATCTTCACTCCCATGTCTTCCCATCCCAGTTGACGCGCTGCGTGCTCGGAAGCGCTGCTGAACAGTTTGGGCTGGATGGTATTGCCCTGTCGGACCCCTCTCTTCACATCGATGAAGTTCTCTTGCGAGCGAAAACCCCCTCAGGAACGAATGTTGGGAGGAGGGGCCGAGGGTGGCAATAGTGAGGTATTTTCCCCACATTCCTGTGATGAATCAAGGTCAAGGGTACTCCTTGAGCTAACCTTAGCCGTCTGTTGGCACAAGGTGCCATCATAATGACCAGAAATCTGCCATTCAGTGAAGCTGTGCCTCAGCCGCCGCTGTTAGATTGCACATCCGTACATCCGCTATCCTCGTTGCTGAGTGGGAAGAGTGTTAGAGTGGGAATCCCTGGTGACGACTTGACTAGTAGTCCTTGACAACGGCATTTGCCGCTAAGTGATTCTCTGAAAATATCAAAAATAGACAGCAGAAGTGAAAAATTTCAATGCATTTTTTTGATTAGAGATCGATGGGGTCTCAAGAAAGGACGTCCAGAACATAGAAAGCACTCAAAAATGCATTTATCTTTTTCTCGAATAAACTACTTATAATTGTAAAAGCGGAGGGGGAGGGCAACAAAAAAACACTCACCTATGATGGGTACCCCAGAAGTTTTTCGCACGGAGTGACGGTGTATGTGGAATCTTACATCTTGAACATGCAAATCGAGCACTAGTATCAATCTGCGTGCCTCCAGAATCAGAAAAATCAGCGGGCCCGGAAATCCAGGGTCCTCGGCTACCAGTTGGCCTATGGCACCCCTCATTAAAACAAGTTGCACCAGATTCTTCAAGGAGATAGGAATATGGGGTTCAAGACGGTAGAACGTGGAGTTTGTATTTCGTGCTGGACCTACAGGACATTATCCTTTCAATTGTAGATTTTCTGTTTCGCTTCGCCCCTAAGAATACAATTTTCCCCATTTCTTGGCATTTTTGTACCTGGGCAAGGAATTCGATCCTTGTTTTCATGTCTAGGAATTTCTTTTGTACGACTCCCTTCTCTCCCTCATCCTAGTTACCACCCTTTCCCGAAACTCTCTCAACCGCCTCTTAACTTCACTCCACCTTTTTTCCCGAGTTCTGTTTCTTTTCGAATTCCACAATTTCCTCCAAGGATGTACCTAAACGAAGGGGAGCGGGAAGGGGGGAGGAGTGTAGTGCAAGTGGGAGAAACTCAGAAAAGTCAACAACTGGAGACATTTTTCACAAAATCAGCCACTTCCCCCCCCCCCCCGCCTACTCCTCAAGCGATCAATAACAATCTCCCTCGCTGAGGAATCCCTACGCTCGACGTGTCCTATCAGCAAAAGGCTCCATGTCTGCAAGGAATCTCCAGTGCGTTGTTTCCCCTCCCCTTGTTGTGACTCTCAACTATGGGCCTTTTCGTCCTCTACTCGCTACTTTTCACCTCGTCCAAATCGTCCTTCTACCCCCGCCTTTTTTTTCGTCAGAAGCATCTCCCATCTCCAAATGAGCCCTACTTTCGTGAAACCCTGCTTTATTCTCTTACATTTCATAATTGCTGTAGTCTTAGGCGTTTCTGATGAAATCCTCCTACAAAGGCTTCCAGGATATGAGGTATTCATATAGGATTAATCTGCGCTGATCTCCATCCGCTTCCTTTCCTCACTTAGCGGCAATCCAGCGAGCTACGGGCTTCTCTCTCTGCTTTCCAGTTCACCTTCCTACGACTTCAACGATAAGCGCCCTTCGTTCAAAGAAAACAAGAAAATCGGTGAACTTTTCTTCTTCTGTACTGAAGGAACGAGTTTTCCTCTTTTTGGGGCAGGGCACATCATTAGTTGGGATTTTGCTTGAGTCCGGACGTTTCCCCTCTCTATAGGGTGGCTTGGTACGACCCCCTACTCCTCCTGATCCGATAGAGCTGTCGAGTGGGGTGGGGAGGGGGCGTATACGACGTGTGAAACGGGAAAAACCGCGAAGGCTAATACGAACTCCTCACTTCCTACCACTTTTTCCAGAACTTCTCGAAAATTTTCCTAGTTTCTTTGCAAGAAATCGAAGTTTGCTGTAGGGGAGGGCGGTGGAGCTACGTAGTACATGAAAGAAAGCCCTGAAACAAGCAAAGTCACTTATCAAAAAATGATTCTCAGACCAAATACGACCTCCCTGTTGGGGAATCCCCGACGATGATGTGCCCTGAAAAGGAGTCTTGGGGGCTCTATTAACAACTCCACCATAAGCTATCTCTCTGAACCTTCGCTCTGGAAGTTACTTGAATCTGTTTCGCTAGTTAATAAATGTTGTTGAGAGGTTATCAAAACTTCCTGCAATCGCAAAAGGGGATATAGCGCACTTGAAACGGGAAAAACAGAACAGCCTCTCCACCGACCGATTTCGACCTCTCTCCGCGCTCGGTATATCCAACGTAGCACAACATGCCCTGTTTGCAGTACTTTCTAGTTTTGAATGGGGGAAGGTGGGAAGGGGTGAGGAAAGGGGGTAGTATTTGAAAAATGTCCCTCATTAGCATCTCGTGCTCAGCTTACGTCACCTCTGATCTTCCCGCTCCTATCCTAATGCAATGTCTACTCTTTTCTCCTTTTTAATCCCCCTCCGTAGCACTCCGAGTGTCCCGCGCCTTCGTACGCTCAATCCTTAATGGATTGGCTCCCAACGTCGGGCGGGGCTTGAAAATCTTTAGTGGGTAATCATTCATCACATTCGCAGAGAAAAAAGCACGATTGTTTTGCCAACGGTGCTCTTTCGTACCTCTGGCGAAATTTGGCCACTCAGCCGGGTTCCACCTTCCTCGGCATTTTTTGGCAGTCGATTGCTTTTAAGTACGGCTTGTAAATTCTATGAACAAAGGTCCGTTCTTCCTGTTTACATCCCTTATGGAAAACAAGGCTTGTGGCAAGAGGTAGTCCACAACAGGCTTCATTTTTCTTCCGAAAACAAAGGGTCTTTCTGCCCATTTTGGCTTTTCGAGCTTTCTACAAAGCATTATGCTCTTTCTCCATATTACTTTTACATTGTCTCTGTGTTTCCATTCTTCTGTGTGTAATTGATGACGTTGTTCGGCTAAGAGGGGGCATTTCGTGAAGTGGTACAGGTGAGCCGCTTCAGGGGCGGCAACTCACAGGTCTCCGCAAGATAGCCTGTGCAAGCTCCGCTGAGAACCGTTCAGTGCTCCATCAAGTCAAACTGCGCCTAATCGATTGCTAAAACTTGGAAAAACATCGACGTGACATACGGGTTAGCCTCACTATGAATTGCCTTATTTCTTATCTGTGAAAAATTCAAATGCGGTAGATCGATGACGCCAATTCGAAGCCATTATGGCCCGCAGAACGGCGCCATTGTCGTAGTGGCCATAAACCATCACACATACGTACACTTCTAGGCACGTCGATTGCAAGTTCCAGCGCTGAGGATCACGGCAGCTTTTTTACCCCGCAAAATGGCAATATAAACCTATCCTGGTCTAAATCGCTATGTGTGTATGTCACGTCGATGTCGATCGATACGCTCAATATGGACATCTGTGCAATTCACCTCGTGTTTTGTCCCCCAGACTCACCTGAAACTAAAATTTGCCGGCCCGGAAGGTGCAAAGCTTGGCTGGACTGGGCGGTAGCTCATTTGGGATTTGACACTCGGACCGCGCGCGTGTAAACGAGCCCTTGCCACAACACCACCCCAGCTTCTTAATTAATCACATAAACCTTCTGGTAATAATAAGCCAATAATAATATGAATGAGAGGATGCACATAACTCGCAGAAACGGGTAAGAGACAAATAAAGACGTATTAGGAGTAGCCGTTCATTCGAGGCACATCGCACGTCGGGGAACCCAAATAGGGGGGTTGTATTTGGTCGATGGAGGCAGGGGAGTGGTATTTTGGCTTGAGATAACTTTTGACAATTGATTTTTCCTATTTCAGCGTTCTATGTACATCGGTGGGAGGTTTTTCCGATAGGCTGCGGGTCATACTCACTCGTCGTTCTGAGAGACGGGAGGGGGGGGGGGTGGATCATTTGCCTTCGTGGTACATTTTCCGAATCGTGGAGGAAATTTCCCAGTTGTTGACTTTCTGCGATTTTTCTATTTCACGTGTGCTACACCCCTTCTCCCGTGGTCGGTGGCAGGGCACATCATCGTTGGAAATTCCTCGGCGGGGGTGAGGGGGGGGGGTCGTGTTTAGTCTGCGGAATTTTTTATAGTTGATCTTTCTCATTTCACAAACGCTAAGGGGGGGGAGAAAGGGGTCATATTTACCTTCTGAGAGAAATTTGCCGCGCTGGGAAAAATTTTTCCCGGTTCTTAACTTTTCGCAGCTTTCTCGTTTCTTTTCGATAGTTGATCGTTCTTGTTTCACGGACGCAATAAAGGAGGGGGGGGGAGAGGGGAAGTCGTGTTTGTCTTCTGAGAGAAATTCGCAGCGCTGGGAAGAATTTTTTTCAGTTCTTAACTTTTTGCGGTTTTCCCGTTTCACAGGTGCTATATGTGCTTCCCCCCTCCCCACCCTCCATCCCGTACTCCACCCCGCTCGACAGCGAAGTTTTGCAGGAAAAGAAGGAGAGTTCTCGGGAAATTCCGGAGAAACTGGAAAAATCGGTAGGAAATTTAGAAAGTGATAGGTACGATGGGGAAGGGGGATCGCATTTTCCGAAAATTTCCCTCAGCAGCAAGGTGTGGCCTAGAAAAAACAACAAACCGAAACCATAAGAAAGGGAGAGGCCATCAAGCTTCCTTCAAGGGGGAGGGGTGGTACGAACCCGACCAAAATTCCCAACTAACGGTGTGACCTGTTTACGAGTACGACTTTTTTTCCGCTGGCTGAAAATGGTAACTCTCGCGCCGGCTCGACGACAGTATCGGGAAGAGCGGAAAAATTTTTCGGAAAACCGCGAAATTTTCTTGGAAAAGGTTGAGAAAAAGTGGTGGGGAAATGATAAAATTTGGAACATGGGAAGATGATAGGCAGCATAGGGAAAGAGATTGTACCAGAACAGGAGACTTGAGGGGTCGTACCCTCCAAAAATGTCCTCCAGCGACAGGAAGAGCCCTGCTCTCGGTTGCGTGAAATTCCGATCCTAGGGGATTTATCCGTATTGGACCGTGAAGATAGCATAGCCTCCAGTTGACAACTCCATGCTTTCAGGTATCGTCTGTGGTCACTTCGAGTCAGGAGACGGTGTGGATTGGTGCCGAGCAATACCGTCGACTGCATCCGCAGGTGAGCATCACAAGCATTTCCCTGCACGCACCTCCTCTAGCTCTAGCCAGCACTGCATGCCACTGTCAAAATTGGCTTCATCACCGCTCTCCTCTCTCGAATTCGGCGGTGAATTGCACGAATCGTTTCGTGCTCGTGCTAAATCGGCTGCTGGATATTTTCCGCGCCAGCCATGTCGTTGTACTTTTTTTGGTCCGTTTGTTCACATAAAATGAATATGTGTGTGCCTGAATGCGTGTGTGTACATGTGATGGTGGCCAGATTGCTGAGCTTTCCCCTTTTAGCTGATAGTTCAGCCTACAGGCTCAGAACTGCTTCTACTTCTTCAAACTTCTCAGCTTTTGTTCGTTTCAGAACTACTATCCATCGCGAAGTCCGTCCTATACTAGGAGTGAACGCAGTCTCGACGGTGTATGTCCTTTTTCCTTCTTCTTCCTTACGTTTTGTCACGTCTTTTTCCAGTCTTTTACTATCCTGCTACAATCACCTTTCACGGCCTTCTTCGCTGCTGATGATGGGGCGTGACAAGGAGGAGGAGGGTTCGGCGCGGCGCCAACCCCTTTTTTCTCTCTTCACAAGCGACAAGACTACCGTATCGTTCGTAGCGGTCCTTTTCTACCGATTATTGTCACTTACCTACCTGCAGAACTGGCGGAGAACGGGCTGGCGTCGCGCCAAACCCGTCCTCACGGACCCGCCCCATCACTCGCAGCGAACATGACTGTATGCTTTCCACTTCTATACAAACTGCCAGTATGATGTTGTTTACAACTACTTATAATTATTGCCTTCTCGTTATTATTATTATTATTTTTATTGTTATGATTATTTCATTATTATTATTTACCAATATCATTGCTACCACTAATCATGATTATTATCAAAATAGCCCCCCTAGGGATCATGGCCATTGCTTCTTCTCTACGACAACTACCTTCTGCCTCTGCCAGAAAGGCCATCCTCAATAGGAGTGAAGCTTCCGCCGTTTGTCAACGCTGCTGTTTATTATTATTATTTTTCACTATGTATAAACTTACTATTATGCCTACTGTAATATTATACCTTTTACATAGTTATATTTATGTTATTGTGCTACACCATATCATTATTCGCTATTGGTTTCAAACGTTATTCTTTACATTCATAACATTTTAATTATATAACACAGCACTACAGGGGGGGGGGGGGCAAAAAAAGTCACTTTTCTTCATTGACTTTCGAGGCGCTATAAGTTACACTTTATTGAATTCTGATCGGACATTTCTACCACCATATTAAATACTATCATGATACTCCGCCACAGCCTTCTGGAGGAGCGCCATCGAGAGATTCTGCCACGCGACCGTGATTCGGTGCCTGAGTTCAGCGAGATCGTTGATTTCTCCGCCACTGTAGACCACCCTGTTGAACTCCGCCCGAACCGGGTAATTGAGGGGGTTTAGGTCAGGTGACACACTTAGATATTCCATCTTCTTCAGGTACTCAACTCCCTTCCATTCCAAGTAGGCGAGAGTTTTTCCAACGCCCCTCGATTCCATGTGGTATAACCCAGTCCTGTAATATCGGACTCCCTATTCGAATAATTTCTGGTCCCTACCATCCTTGGCGACTGCGGTGAAGATGATGTCCTAGACCGTGGCGACGTTGTCGGAGCTGCAGGTCCTCCAGATCGAGAGTACTCCAGGTATCCATGGGTGACTCCAAACAAGTTTCGCAGCTGTTTGGAGGTGACATGAATTCCAAAGGTCTTCTCCAGTCAGGCTGCGACTGGAGATGACTTCATATTTTGGTGTACATGAAGGTGATGGGCGAGAGCCAGCTCCTGCTTATCGAGGAACATCTTGGGTATCTTCCGCCCTGGTACTCGTATCCACGTCCTCTGTCTGGGCTGCGAAAACTTTGCTGATATGTGAGGTCTGAGTGACTTTTTTTTGGCCCCCTGTATATTATTGAACCTCCGAAATCCTTCAAAACGGTCAGTACACCACTCGTTCATAGCGTTACAAATGTAACAGAAGAATTAGAAAGATATTATTCATACATTATCAATATTTTTTTATTATTTTATTTTGTTTTTATTTTTATTTATAATTCATACCTTTATCAATGTCTTTATTTATATGTATGGAATATTCTTATGCTGCCCATTGTGGGGCGTCCGGTGGAGGGGGGGGGGAAGTCTGGTTCCATTCCACCTATTTTGTCGCTTCGCTCTCTTCAACACTTAGAGGAGAACGGTATGGCGCTGCGCCAAAATCGCCTCCCCCCTGACACGCCCCAGCATCCTTGCGAACATGACTATAATTAATATAGAGATACTGTGTGGCGCCAATGTTTTATGCATGAAGTTGCAGATGTATAAGAGAATCCCTAAAAACGATTTTTTTCCGAGATAGGATAGGGAATTGATGGAATGCTATCAATTCTGTTGGATTCGACGTGCTCTGGAACTATAGTGAGCTTTCTTTCCAAGAAGTATGGGTCATACACCTTGTACCTTTCGCATGTTAAAAACGCATTGATTAATGGCGGAGCTTCAACCTTTTTCCAGACGTTAGCACGGCAGACCTAGGCAAGCGGCATGCTCGAAGTGGATGTACTTTCAGCAAAAAAAGCTTGAGCAATCCGTGCTTCGGCTAAAAACCTCTTGAAAACACTCGTACTGCAGAATCTTCATATCCGAAAATTTGTAGGGATAGCTTTTAGAGCAGCATGTACTTGTGCAAAATAACAGGTTGGGGTAAAGTTGGTAAAATCAGTAGAGTGAACGCTTCAAAAGGATTACTTTTGTTATAATTAGACAATGTACTGAATTATAAATGCATGCATGGCGCAATACCAGAAAGGATTAGTTGGACCTGCGCGCTTCATGCTTCATCCCTCTATCCATCAGTACTGTTCCCAGATGCATGATAAGCATTCAGGACAAGTTCGCTCGCTGGGAATTCCCAGCGAAGGGGCCGTACATAGTTGGTCGGTGGGATGGGGAGGGGGCGTATCTGCTTCAGAGAAAAATGTTTTCGGTTGCAGATTTTTCGTATTTTTTCCCGTTCCACTGGCGCTAAATACTGTACGACGCTCCCCTCCCCACCCGCTCTTCCACCAGGG